AGATCTGACCATGCTTTCATTGTCTTTGCTCACCTCCTTATCCAATTTCAAGTCCATGATAAATTACTGTGATTGCTCCGCTGACTCACTGGTGTCCCTTGCCCCCCTCTCTCTTTGTACCATTCTCTTGACAAAATCAACTCTCTACCTGCTTCATGAATATGGCTGCAGAAAAGCACACCATGAGTGGGCTTACTTTAAATTCATGACCCTCCATACTACCAAGCTATCATATGATATCATCAAACCACATGTCCCTTATCCATTTTCTCTCCAAAATTACTATTTCATATCTCCTTCTTCCCAACACCTCCTCCCCAACTGCAGTCTCAGCTGATGACCTTGCTATCTAGCTCCCTCAAAATGAAAAGCAGAATGGTCATAAGAGAACTACCAACCTACTCTAATCTATATTTTTATGCTCTGTCTTCCTGCTTGTTAATCACAGACGCTAACCAGGCTGCCCTCTAAAATCAGTCCCTACATTTATACATTAGATGTCATCCCCTATCATCCACTCGAGGAATATCACTCCAGCAATTCTCTTTCTGTCCTACGTCATCAAGTCATCAAGTTTTCACTATGTGTTGAATCATTCTCATCAGAGTATAAATGTGCTAGTATTTCCTCCAACTTTAAAAACAAAACAAAACAAAACAAAAAATACACCACCTCTTGACCTGCTCCCCCGCCAGCTATCTTCTCTTTGTTCCTCTATGTGCCAAACTCCTCAAAAGAGTTGTCTACACTCATCATCTTCAATTTCTCTCTTATTACTTCTTTTGCTTTTTTATTAATATGCATCAATTTAGGTATTCTTTCTCCTATAATGGACTTCCAGGTTATTATTATTATTATTATTTTTTTACTTTCACATACGTGCTGCAATGAACACACATATCCCTGTGATTCTCTAAGGTATCCAGATCTAAGTGTGAAATTGCTAGGTTATATCTCACTCTTCAATCCACCAAAATTGGTCTTATCAATAACTTTCTACGTTCTCTAAATTCAGTGGTCAATTCTCAGCACTTACCTTATTCGACATATCAGCATCATTGACACTTACTTAATACATGACTTTTACCTAGCAAAGTTGAAAACAGTTAGTGTTCTTTCTACCCACTTTCTCTATCTACCTCCTTTGCTGGTTCTTCCTCTTCTCTTATCTATACTCATTCTCCTAGTGATCTCACAGTCTCATGGCTTTTAATACCAAGATATGTCACTATTTCTCAAATGTGAATATTCTGCTTAGACGTTGGTCCCAAAGGCCAGACTCACACAGCTCACTTGTTAAATGTCTCCACTTAGATGTCTAGCAGACATCTCAAACTCAACATGCTAAAACTGGACCTTCCTAAGCCTGCTCTAATCATCATCTTCTCCATCTCACTTGATGGCAGCTCTATTCTTCCTGCTTCACCAGTCAAACACCTTTAAATCTCCAGGACTCTATCTCATACCTCCCCAAATCCATGAAACTGTATGGCTAAATCCAGAATCAAACAGCTTCTCAGCACTTGGAAGATTGTTATCCTGGTCTGAGCCACTATCATCCCTCACCTGGAGTTCTGAAATAAGCATTGTTTGTTGAATGAGTGAACAAGCAACAATCTTTGCTCTCAAGGCTTTCAGTGAAAATCAACCATTTGATAACAGACTTTTAAAAAATTTAAACCCCAGGTAAATAAGCACATATTCATAAAATCAAAAGCTAATACATAAGTGGCAGAACAACGTGGCATTTTAATTAAAATCACAAACCAATCAAGGATGCCTGATACTGCTAGATCACTTAACATTTCTCTAGCATTTCTATAAAATATGAAACATAAATAACAGAAATGAGGGAATAAATTATTTTCATTTGTTAGTGATATACACCTCTACAAATTTATAAGAATCAAATTAAGAGCTCTTGGCTAGAACTTAAGAATTCAGCAAAATGGCGAGATTTGAGATAAACATAAAATTCTATAGCTTTCTCTTCTACCAGCAAAAAACAATTATAAGATAAAATAGAAGGAAAAAATTGATCCACAATATTAAGAAAAAAAAGTAAAACACATAAAAAGTAAAACATTATCAAACACTGTGCAGGCACATAATGAATGAGAATAATAAAGGAAAAATGTTTATGATGAAAACCTGTGTACAAAATCACATAAAGATGATGTACATATCTGTATATACATATATTATATGTTCACTCTAACAGGATAAAATCTGAAAGGGATTGTACCTAAATAATAATCATTACCTCTGAATTTTATGTTAATAGGTAATTTTATTTTTCTTTATAAAATTTCTTCTTCATAGAAAATTCCTAGATTTTCTATAATCACTGTGTAAGATCTTTTTACTAAAAGTTTTTATTTTCTGTAAGGTATAAACCACAGTGCCTATTTTGAAGCTTAAATAATACATAAAAGTATTTATAATAATTAGCTTCTGACCCTGTCAGAGGGATAAATTTTTATAAAATCAGTATTTAGTTGCAGACAACCATTTGTTGCACTGTCAAAAGTGAATCACTGAACTCATTAAGGTTATATCTGAGAAAGACGAGATTGTTATTTGTGGATGCAAGACATATATGACTAGGTAAACAGTACACATTAATACGTTATCAGCATTTATTAAGATATGTTAATGTGTTATGTTGGACACAGTTAACATTAAAATGTGGAATCAGAAAGTGTTAGTGGTATGGTCTGCCACCAGGAAAATCTTTTCTCTGTAGGACTTCGCTGTTCTTTTGGAAACTGAATATTTGAATTTGACCTTCATAGCACTGAACATACTAAGTTAAGTCTCTCTGACCCGACCAGCCAACCAGAAAACCAATAGAATAAGCATTTTAACCATTTTTTCAAGCTGATGTGATTATTGTTCCAGGTGATAGGTTTCAGGGGACTTTTCTATTTAATCTATGATTACGGTTAGGCATCCATAATAATCAACTTAATTCTGCCATTACGTAAATCACTATCTTACAGAGTGGCACCCTGGAGGAAAAAGAAGAAAGACTCCACAAAGCAAGAATGCTCAGGAAATGAGTTGCTTTGGTTAAATTAATGTGCTATTAATGTGCTAATTTTTTTAGAATTCCTTTGAGTCAATCCTGAGTTATGTGACCTGCTTTGACACTGTACTCAAGATCACTGACATTAGGCCTAAATGACTCAGGAGTGTGCAGGGTCTCAGGCCATACCCAAACATTCATTTCTTCTCGAAGCTGCAGAAGGGCCCGGCACTGAGTCGAGTGCATGAGAAAACAGGGCATATAATGGAGGCTGCCATTAAAAAAATAACATGATGATATTAGTTTTGTTATTGTTTTCACCCGATTATGAAGAATCCTAAGAAGCTGAAAATTCAAATTGGCTGAGAATTTATCAAATATTTATCCCGAGGCAGTAGAAGACATTTTAAGTCACTGTAATAATAAGCGACAAGAAGTCCACCAAAGGACCTTACTCTCAAAATTAATTTAGATATAAAGGAGAAAATGAATAATGGCAATGCTTCCATGAAGCCTTACCATTTTATTATCATATTCTTATTAAAAACTTGAAACATTATTATTGATGTATTGAACAGACATTGCTCATTGCATTATTAAGTCACATAAAACCAGCGGCAGGATAAGGAGAAAACGGCATAACCTTACTATCGAGTAATTCTACTTTTCGGATTATTTTAATTCAATCTTATACTAGCACATCATTTAGGTTGGGTGCATCTAATCAAGAGTTGAAGAAAAGTGGATTTCCTTCAAACTATACTGTTAAGAACTACTCTGAGGTTTGGGGATATTATTTCTTTAAAAATCTGGAATTTCCCCCTCCTTACAAGTTAAAATCATTTCAAAATCCGATTTTAATTTTATCAATAAATGGCAGCATGTCACAGTTCAAGGAGGATGACTGTATTTTTTCTAGAGGAACAAATAGTAGTATCAGGTTTTGGGATTTGGCAATACATAATCTCAGTAGATCAGTTCATTGATCGTTCGACGGATATTTACTGAGTAGCTGCTACATGTAAACTACTACGCCAGAAGCAATTCCAGCTGCAGCTACAGCCACTTTTCCTGTGTCTCGACTTGCAGATGCATAAACACAGATTTCATTTATCTCTTTTTTACAACAAATATCTCATCGATTCAATGCCACTCACTCAGGTTTTTGTTCTGCAAAAAGTTAGTAAGTATCAAAGAGACAGAAGGGTGGATTCTGCTACATCATATTTTTACTCATTTATCCCATAAATGTGGATTACAGTCATCGCACTTCAAGGGAGTACTATTTTTACAGGTAGCTTAAAAGGAAGCTTTCGCATCCTTGCCTTCTTTTGCCCAGTTTCCTAAAAGCTACCTGTCAAGGCATGAAAGCACCTCCAGGCTCTGACGAATACTGTGCCCATTACCCGAGCAGTCCTGGGGGACACCGCCAAGGTGCAGAGCGAGGGCCAGCTCTTTTGCACCCCTATCTTACATTCTCCCTTTAAAGTCCAGAGTCTCCCTTTTAGTTTATCTACCACGCCCAGCAGGGAAGGAGCAGAAGCATGACTGCCTAGGTTATTTAGCTTACTTTGGAACAAAATTAAGACACTTCTTATTCTATATGCAGGTGCATACAGATTGTATGAATCCTTCTGATTGTACGAATCCCACATTCACAGACAGTACTGAAGAACAAACTGCACGATAGCAAACTATAATAACAACAATCACCTGCTATTCTCTCCTCTGCCCTAGAAAGGTTTATTTCCCTTTGCTAAAACTAAAATGACATTTCTCCATTACCAGCTCATTCATGTCTACTCAATTCCCTGTCCCTTCCTTAAGAAGTTGTGCACGTGAGTCAATTAACTGGTTTCCATGTGTTTGCAACTGAAGAAAACATGGAAGTTCTATTTCACAATCAATGTCTTTTAGCTATCGATGAGGAGGCAAGACTTCCCCCTTCTCAGTTAAACTGAGCGCTACTTACATCTTTTCCCAGTACTCTGAGTTCAAATTGTGTCTCCTTGAAGTGAACCTTTGTAATCCGAGGCCTGGGGTGGGGGGGTAAAAAAAAACAGATGGTGGTGGTGTTACTTTTTTTAAGAATTAATCCTTCAGAAATTCAGAAAAGTATCCAGTGGAAAAAGACTGATTCACAGTGGTTCCTTTATATACTGCTGCAGTAATTGTAGAGTTCCCCTGTGCATCTTCCGCTTTGGACACCTTCCTAAACAAAACTCCATCCTCATTCTCCTATGCTTCTCTAGTAAATGCAGACAAGCCTGGAATCCCCAAGGTCCTGGCAGTGCTGCTTTCTCAGACACAGTGTGGTGCCATAACAGTCTCACTCTCTCTCAGATTTTTCCCCACTTAGATTTAGAACTCAGAGAAGTCCCAGGCCCACAACCCACCAGCACACACTGGAACAGGTATGAAATCTTACTATACAGTTTCCATAGACAAGAGTTCAAAATCCAAATCACATTTACAGAGAAAATATTTTAGGATGTGTTGGAATACACCTTATACCCAATTTCACTCACATTTATCTACCACTAGAAATATACCTGTTTTCTTTTTCCAATCCTTTCATTGACACCTAAGTCCCATAAGTCCAGTATATACAGTGTATAACTTTAATTCAACTCTGCCCTCAATTTATACTTACCAGAAATACTTCCCCACTTGCTTTTTATTCTTGTAAACAACAACACCAACTGGAGTTAATCCTAAGAAATACTCAGATTTGTTTTCTCCCTGCAAAAACAAACATATACTTATAACTATGAATTAATTTATATAAATGCTCTTTGTCAAACTATAATTGGCCACGCAAACATAATTTGTTGCATTAATACTGGATCTAGTTTTTGGAAGATATCAGCTTAAGAGCTAGCTATGATGGCAGCTAACTTGTTGCTCAGTTTTTTAAGAAAATTTTCTTAGTGCATTCATACTTACAACTTCAGTTATTAAAAGAACCTAGACTACCAATCAGGCCACTGACCGACTCACCCCATGTTGTTTCTACAGTGGTGTGCAACCCTTACTGCACATTAACTGGAATCACCCATTCGGCTTAAAATGCTAATGCCTGGGCGCTATCAAAACCAGCTAAATCAGAATCTGGAACCAAGGGGCCCACACAGCAAAAACACATAAATGTTCCAGGTGCTTCTCCTGTGCAGCCAGGGATTGAGAACTTCTATCAAGAGTCCCCGCTATCAAGGGTCCCTTTCTTTCCAAGGACTCATCTTGATCTTTCTCTTTGGTGTGGACAATCATGAGACCTGGTTCATCACCACCCACTCCCGAAAGTTCAGGCAGCCACCTGAGGGCATATACTTGGATTTTCTGAGGTCTCTGTCTTACTCCTTCCAACTTCCACTTGTGATTTTACGACTGCTCAAAAATTTTAAAATACAATCTCTTCTGGTAAAAACTGGACACCCTTAATTTCCAGACAATGATAAACTTCAATTAAGAAAATGGAATTGTAAAATGAAAAAGTTACGGAGTGGGTACTAAGAACATGCACAGAACTGCCTGTTTATGTTCATCTTATTTCTACTTCAGGTCAAATATCAGACTGCAAAGTCATATTCCCAAAGACCATAAAACAACTAATAAGTTTTGGAAGAATTCTAGCCATTGCCCACTTTCGGTTCTAAAAATTCAATCTTAAAGGAATGTGTAGAAGATTCTAATGAATCTAGTTCATTTACCATAAATTCCACGGCCCACAAAAAAAGTGTCTGTGAATTAGGATAAACATAACACTAATGCAGAAATATTTTGCAAAAGACTCTCTTTACACATTTCCTATAAAATACGTATTTTAAAAAAACCTAAAAATCTAACAAGATTAATGTGGTTAGAAGGGAAAAATATAACTATTCCACAACATTTCAAAAGTATTCTTAAAGACAGTGTAGAGCATTTAATGATCTGATGAGACTGAAATCTATCAGGGTACTACTACTTCCCCCAAATATGTAACTTTTATTGCATATTAATGGTATACCCAGGGATGGACCTAACTCTTTACAAATAATATGATATCTTGTTTTAGGAAACTCTGATGAGCCAAAGACACATAAAATGAATACATGAATGAGTTATTTGCATAACAGTAAGTTTTATCAGAGTTCCTTAAAAATTGAGTTCCGTAATCCAATTGACAAACACTCTATAAATAATCTTTGGCAGTTCATTTCATGTAAAGAATAAGGTACCTGGCTCCTTTTCTCAAATAATTAAATCTGACTATTGTTAACTAAACTCATAACATAAAAGGCATATTTCGATCTCACTGGAATCGAATAAGCAATTGGTAACCTTAGAGAAGTGGTTCAAAGCTTAAGACCTAGATACAGAACACTTGATAGAGATTGAGTATAACTGCTCAATGACTATGTTCAGCAAGTTTCTGTCAGCCACTGAAGAAAATCTGCAAAAATATTTCTATTAATGCAGTGGTAAGAACTACAATAGGCAATAACCATAATATTGACAGAACCTGCAGAATCACCAATAGTTGCACCTATACTGTTGCATAAAGTCTACTTTACCTGGCAAATGATTTGATAAAAGTTTTTTCAGCCATAAAATCTATTTTTGGAAAACCCTCCTGTTTTCCATCTAATACAATCAATTACAGACCAATTTTAAATTGTTTTGACATTTAGCTAAGCCCTTTGGAGCTGTTATCCAGATTGTGTTTTCAAGGCCAGTTAATTGTTTTCTACACATGGAAATAAAATCACAGACTTTTATGCAAAACTCATTAGGGTTTTAATCCATGCAAGAGATTCGTTGTGTTTGAAAAACACAGATGAAAAAGTATCAACTTCTCACGAAATAACAGGACTGCAGCTTTCCTTTGGGAGTTTCAGTGACACTTGAAGAAAAATGTCATCAGTTTAAAATATTTTGTGTTAATTAAATGTCACTCACGTAGACGGGATGAAGATCAACGCCATACATCTCCAGGGATTTGGCAGTCCTCAAGTAATTCAGCTCTGCTTCAGAAGGAGCCTGACCCCTACATCCAGCATAAAAACAAAGAGCCTTCCTTTACTGATAGCTATGGCACTTACAGGGAATATAAACCATCTTCACTATATTCACTGTAAAAATAAATAATCCTTTGTGCTAATGCAAATGTAAGTCTTTATATTTCAAGATGCCCCTTGCTTACTTGGTGACCGAATTTTATACTCTGAAGTGATACTCGTGTTAAGTTAATTTCATTTACCGAATCCATTTTTGCTCATTATAGCCAATCCCAATGTCCTAGCATATATTAAAAATTCTCAACTTCAGAAACCCCCAAAGAGATTAAGGAGCACTCAAATTTAAAAAGCATACCCCTGACAAAGAGTAAAACGTCTCCATGCACCAGCAGCTAGCTCTCTGTCAGGAGGAAAAAGGAATGAGAGCAGTGGTGGGTGGAAGAAGAGAATGGACTCCCCCACACCCAACCAGCTCATCAGCCTCTCCTGAGCACAGCAGTTTGAAAACACATTAGTTAGTATTTAGAAATTGTAAAAAATACTTGTCATTTTCTTAATACAAAGTACAGAAATCTACCTAAAATCTTCACTGGCAATAATAGACAAAAAACAGCATTCATTCCTAATGAGGGTGAGCATCTGCCAGGAATCTCCATGGATAAGCAGAGCTGTGTGTGTGTGTGTGTGTGTGTGTGTGTGTGTGTGTGTGTGTGTGTAAAAAGATTTTTTATGGTTAACAAAAGGAGCTATGAACTTTTTTAAAATTAAGAAATCCTGCTTTGATGTATTCCTATGTTTCATATCACCTTGGAAAACCCAGTAATAAACCATATTTTTGAAATCTATAAAAAATGTTCATCACAAATTAGATACAAGAAAGCTACCAAAGCTTGATCGAGCTTTATTCCCTTTTAAGTAACAGTCACATTGTCAACACCATCACATAAAACATGTAAGGCCCTTTACCCAACGCTCCTTGATAATTTCAAAATATAATTGTGCTTTGAAACTCCTAGAATTAGCAGTCTCAAAATGTGTCAAACATAATGTTATAACAGGCACTTTCTTAGCATCCACTTCAGCGAAACCTTAAAATGAAGGGCTCTATAATCAGCCCGGAGAAAATTCTGGTGCACACTAATACAAGATGGAGTCTGCTTTCTCTGATTGCAATTCAGGAATTGACTTCTGCGACTACTCACTGAAACAGATCTTTCAGGCAAACATTTTTTTGTTGACCATATTAATTCTACATTTTTTTTCTTAACTATACTAGATCTGAAACCAAGCAAATTCAAGAGGGAGTGTTACATAAGAAGGCAATAAAGCGAAGTTAATCGGTATAGAAGATTTAACTAAAATAACTATAATTAAATTATAACTTCAATGCTGCAGGCCATTAATTGAAAATCCTACTTAGGGCAGGTATATTCTCAGAAGTGCATGTGGTATTAACACAACATCCTCCGAGGCTCCACACCAGTGTCATCATGATTTCCAGATTCGTTACTACAGACTGACTAGGACTTTGCTTATAACTGTGAAGAACTTACAAACTTAACGACATAGCAAATCCAAAATACATTAAGGCTTTTGTGGTTATAAAATATATTTATAGTTAAAAAATAAATCTCACAAGGTACTGGTGACAAAAAAGTCGGCTGCAAAATACAGTACACACAGAATGACTCCATTTATGTAAAATCATACATACATAAATCTATATGTAATAAATTTTCTCTATAGGAAATTATGCATAGTGAGGTTTGAAAGGCCAATAATCAAAAATATCTTGACTTTAGGTATTGGGAGTTACTCTCTCCTTTATATTTATAATTGTTTAGAGTTTCTATGAGCATTTTATTGTTACATGCAGTAAAAACCTTAAAAAGAAAAAGAATGAGAGACTGTTTCAGAAAAAGGTGAGAAATTTATTCTATAAACTTTTCTTAAGACTGCTAATAGCAAACGGATGATGGTTGATGTAATATAAGGTGTTATCTTTTTCCAGCTTAATTGAGATATAATTGACATAAAATCTCATGTAAGTTCAAGGTGTACAATGTGTTGACTTGATACATTTATATATTGCAGAATGACTACCACCATAGCTAGCTACTACCTCCATCTTATCACATAATTACCATTTCTTTTTTGTGGTGAGAAAATTTAAGATCTACTCTCTTAGCTACTTTCAAATATATAGATGGACCTTGAGGGCATTACACTAAGTGAAAGAAGTCAGGGAAAGACAAACACTGTATGATATCACTTGCATCTAAAGAATCTAAAGAAATCGACCTCACAGAAACAGAGACTGAAATGATGGTTACCAGGGGCTGGTCACCAGGGTGGGAGACATGGAGGAGATGTTGGTCAAAGAGTATAAACTTCCAATTATAAAATGACATTCTGGGCACCTAACATACAACATGTTGATTATAGTTATTAAAATGTGATTCTTACATTAGAGTTTTATGAATTCTTTCTATGGCTTCTTCGAGTTCTTCCTTCTGATCAGGAACAAACCGATACTCTGACACATAGCCTGCAGTATGCTTATATGGGTCATAATCTCCAAGTTCAGCTAAAAAATAAAAAAAAAAATTGTAATTTTTTCCATTTTAGGAAAATATTCCTAAATACGCAGGAATAAAAATATTCCTATCATGCTCAAACATTTTCTTCAAGTGCCTTATTAATAAATTCATATATAACTAATTTAGAAAAAAATAAGTCTGATGAGCATATATGAATGGTATAAACAAAATCATAATAAAAACACAAGTTCTGTAGTTTTACTTTCTGAAAGACTATAATTTTCATTTTCACTTCAATTTTTCTCATCAGTTTATATACAAAAAAATGTTGTAAACAGAATTTAGAGTACATATATTGGAAATACTAGATATTAAAAACAACCATGAACCCAATATATCCTCTCAGACAATGACACTAAGAAATAGAGCACGTGATTCAAAATGTATTTGCCCCAAATAATGGTCATAGAAATATAATACAATGCTGCACAAAACCCCCACCACAATTTATACAAAGAAATAAAAGGAAAGCAGAAAGCTCACTACGTTATGCTTAAAAATTCTCTTCTCCCCAGCCCAACCCAGTTCGTCTATGTGACATTTTTCCTAGGATATTTTTCCTGCAATGTTTCTGATCTGCAAGTGACACAAAGACAAGAATGTGCTGTCCAGCCTCACTGCCCCCAGCCTCTGCCTCTGTCTCCAAAATGACAATGCAACCTGGAACTGCCCCACATGGTCATCATATTGATGCCAACAGCTTAAGTGCAATGAGTGCCAAACGTGTGCCACACTGCAGTGGCGTCGGCACCTGACCCCGTGGAGTCTTCACCACAGCGGCCTGGAAGCAATGTGATCTCTGAGTCATATCTTCAGGGGATCAATGAACTCAGGTAGAATGTAGAACAGAACAAATGTTCAGACCTTCCACTTAATCAAGAATCAATGCTACTCCTGCGACTAAAACTGCATTGGACCTACTACAAGGAAGATATAACTGGCATCATTTTTACCTCTCCCCGAAGGGACGCTGATTAAAACTTGAATTCTAACTAAATCCAATTTTTTTTAGCAACATGCCATTTGATAAGAAAAATTGTAGCATACGAACTTGCTTAAAAAGAAAAATTCAATTATTTTTCTCGCACATCTGAAGCAAATTTACATAAGTGGAACCTACACTGGATGGCATATGCTCCCAGCTGAGCAGCAGTGCTGACAGGGCAGGGCAACCGGCCCTGAAGGACATCTTGCTTCACCTGTAAGAAAAACTGATATCTAAAAGAGAAATGGAAAGAAGAGATTAATGATACCTTATGCTACCCAGACCTAAAGTTTCAGAGCCTGAGATTCAGGTAACAACTAATCACCTTTAATGAAAATAAAGTACTTTCTGCTCTTTTGTGAAGGGACTGTTTGGGAACAGACTATTTAAAAACACACTCGACAGAGGCAATACAGGGTAGTGGCTAAAAAACACAGGCTCTCAAGTTAGACTGGCTGGATTGCACCCCAGCTCCAGCACTCTCTAGCCTGTCACCTTGGTCTGTGGCTGAACCTCTCTTAATGGCCAGTCCCCTCACTTGTAAAACCGGGTAAGTGAAGTATCTACACTGTATAAGGCTGACATGGAGGTTACATATAAGCTATTCCTACCATTCTCATTACTGCCATTGCCACTACTATGACGGCATAATCTTAATGAGAGAACAAATCACAAAGACCCAACTTATATGATATGTGTTAGCTACAGGGTCTAAAATCACAGGCACAGGACAAAAATTCCATCAAGACTTCCACTTAAAGGCCCTGCTCATTATCTGCAGCTTTACTCATTCCATTCGCCTGAACAAAACTTGTTATAATAGTGCCACCCACTTTTCTAAACATTGTAAATATAGTAACTCATTCCAAGTATTTTACATACAATAACTTATGCAAAATTTTAAAATGAGGTCAGTACTATTATAATCTCCATTTTGCAGATGAAGAAACAGACACAAAGCGATGAAGTAACTTGTCCAAGATTTCGCAACTAGTCAAGTAGCAAAGCCAGACTGGAATCTGAGAAATCTGATCCTAGATCTCTCTTAATAGGGTGCTATATAACTTGGCTAGCTTCCCATCCGCCACCCATCCTACCATTCACCTTTGTGTCAATGGAGAGAGAGAGACCAGAGGTTTATGAACCAATCTAATGAACTACCAACATGACCCCAGGCCAACACCACTAACTTACTATTTTCTCTCTCTCCTTCCTTCCCTCTCTTTCTCTCCCCATCCCATCCCCTTTTTCTCCCCCATCCCCACACTTCAGGCTGTCTTTTGTGATTTCTCTTTCTTTGCAAGGTGACTCTTCATGTCATCAAGAAGAGCAGAAAAAAAGCAAAGGAAATGATTTATAAAAATCGGCCGTGATAAATTTCTCTTCTCTAAATGCTCACAACCAAAGCTCTTGGTGAGGGAATCCAAATGTTAGAGGCTACTCTGATTATTTCTAGAAGACTGACACCCACTTCGATTACACCCACAGGCTTAAGTGAAAATCTGCTTAAAAGCCTGTGTTTCCCCACTGCCCATTTCAGTAAATGACACCACAGTTCTCCAGACATCAAGTAAAAGAAGCCTAGGAATAATGTGTAACCCTTGGCACCCACGTGCTGTCAATAAATCTGGTAGTTTTGGGAATCCATACACTTCTCTCCATCTCCTAGTTCAGGTCACTACCCACTGGATTTCTAAACCTTCACTGCTCTGTCATTATTCATACTTACCTCTCTTCCAAACTATTTACTTTCCTGAGAAGTAAATAGGATTCTTAACAGGTAAATAAGACACACCACTCCCTTGATTAAAACAAATAAACAAACAAACAAACCCTTAAAATATTTCCCTTTGTCTTCAGAATAAAGTTCAAGATCCTTAAGATAGGTTATAAGACTTCTTGAGCCAAATTTCTTGCCATTAACCAATGACAACCCACCACCACCACTCCCTACCTTTCATTTGCATTTCCGGCCCTACTTAAAATCTTTCTTTCCCTGAATGAATGCTAGTCTTGGATATCAAATCTATTTCATTATAATCATCTGTGCTCCTCTTGAAGAGTGACATTAGCAGAAATTAAATGCAAAAGCTTATAAACTAAAGAGACATTTCACTAGAAGTACCACTGCTTGCTGGAAACGCGTTGAGCTACTCTCTCTTCCCCTAGTGTTAACTTGGAATTTCTTTTCCTGAAGCGTATTTTTTTCGGAAATGGGTCACAGATGCATATTTGTCTTGCTCTATTTAAGACTTTTATAACATCCGACTGGATAGTTAAATCCTTTGCCAAATACAGAAACTGAAGGACCTAAATCTCACAAGAGTTTGCTTTAAAGAGAAAGAGAAAGAGAAACAGAGGGAGATGAAAAAGACAGATCTGAAACACGGAGAAAGACAAACATACAAAAAACAGGAATCATAACCCACTGGTGACTGTATCCCACCATAAGCACACAATAGCTCCTCAATAAAGATCTGCTGTCCTGATGGATGGCTATGATTACGAGCCGGTCAAGAGGTAGATGAAAATGGAAAAAACTAAACCGTTGCTGTCTCTGAGAAATTCATGAAGAAAAAAAAAAAAAAAGACATGTTCAGATTTCCCTGTACAGCCTACTTTTTAAAGATACCAAAAGATCTTTAAGTCGTTGCATTAATAATCCACTAAAATAGAAGAAGACAGGTAAACTATTTTTAATTAGGAATTTATCTTAATGACAGCAAGCATTGTAATAGTTTTATACAAGACAAATTTATGATACAGTAAAATCTTATTTTTATATGCTAAACACTTGATTATATCTCAGGTTCTATTTTTAGTTAACTATATATTTTGTCCATTTTATGGGACTTATACAGTACAACTTAAAATTTCATTTAAATTCCAGATTTAGAGTTGCTGTGTCTTCTGTGTCATTCTGATTAAGGCTATGATTAGATGCTTAACTCCTTGTTTATCTCTGGTTTTAATTAGGGTGAATCTGCACTCCAGTTTACCTAGGACGGTTCTAGTTTGTGCCTATTACACGAGCCTAATTATTATAACTCTCCTCATCATTCTCCAAAGTGTCAGGATTTAGATAATAAATTATATTGTGACCCTAGTTATATTGTGCCCTTATTGGAGAAAAAAAAAAAAATGCTGACTAAAAATAACCCACTTAATAAGGAAGCTTTACAAAACACATTCTGGTACAAAACAGAGGTTTCACAGAGCAACTACTGTTTATCTTTTTATGTAAATTAGTATACCGGTATATATGCACTCTCTCCCAAACTAGATTGTGAGCCTCGGGGAAGAAATAGTCTGTCTTCCCTCCACCAACACTCATCACAACACTACATCCAGTATAAGAGAGGAGTTTGAAATATTGGCCTCGCAGTTTTCTGTTTGCCTGCTGTTCAATGAAAAGAACTGAACTGACACGAAGTATGTATAAGCCATTGTGGACCATTAACAATTTAGCAAGTATCAGAGGAAAGAAGAGTGGGCAAAGGAGATTTGCTTAGACAAGGAGAAGAGAGACCCTCTTCTTTCAGGAGCCCAAAGCAAAGATTCTCCTGAGATTCCATGGCCAAAGAAGGCCAGAAATGCCCACATCAAAGCAGCCTGAAGTGTACCTTCCAGCGACTTGAGACCCTAATGAGGAAACTGAAAGATGTGGGGACAAGCAGAAGTTTGATTTCTGATGCCAGTTGAATGTGTAACTGAGGAATTGAAGAGGAGAGTACCTACCTAAACGGGAGGCAGGGGTGTCTTTATGTCCCTACAGAGAGGGAACACAGCACACAATGGGAGCCTAATCATTTTGGATTAAACTTAAATGTGATGGACAGAGGAAAAAATGCTTAAATAATAACATGATATTGAACACTGTGGAGGAAATGGCATGCATGGCTTAAGAAGAAAGAGAGTGGAGGAAGCATCCAATAAATCTCAAGAGAAAGTGACAAAGAAGATCTGGAATAACACTTGTGCCTCAGAAGCTTAACAGTGATGATTATAATATAGGAACAAATAGCAATAGTATCACTTTCTATTTGTATAGTCCTTTAACTTTTACAAATTTATTTTGCGTCCATACTGGAATGTGACCCTCACCTCAACCCTGTTTCCTTCTCTAAGTGAAGACCATTCTCTTCACTTAGAGAAGGAAACAGGGGCTCCAGAAGTAGGTATGTAACTGAAGGCCACTCAGCTGGCAAAGAAGGTAAAACAAGCTAATCTTCACAAAGTGAATAATATGGATTCCCAAGACAATAATAATAAAATTGATAAGCCTAATGTCAATCCCCAGAAAATACAACAAAATATTACAAAACAAACTAAAAAACAAAGACCTTCTTTTATTTTTTATTGTATTTATTCATATTTTTAGGCGAGGTAACCCTTGGTTGACCTCACAGATTGCAAAGACCTTGTTGCTTACAATCCCTTATTTTTTATTTTTTACGCCTACAGGACCTGGTCTTCCTAGGTGGTCTCCCATCCAAGTACTAACCAGGCCCAACCCTGCTTAGCTTCTGAGATCAAAGACCTGTTTTTAGAAGCTAAAAAGTGTTCATTATGAACATGTCATCTGGAACTAACATTCTTTTCTTTTTTAGAAATAGTTGTTAGAGCCTTAGAAGTTCAGGGAAATTTCAGTGGCATCGCAGATAGGGTTGTCAGCAAAGCAATGGACAGTTTCTCTGTCTCTTTCTTTCTGGAGAACTGAAACCATACCTCCCTTTGGTCACTACTAAATTTCCTTGGTACTCAGTGCATTGAAACAATGTTCTACGTAGTTAGCGAATGAAGGGTAGGGGAGTGAGTGAATTTTGTCTTTTTATACAAATTTAAGAAATGCAGACTAGAAGGCAGTAGTAGGATGATTCAGAATTAAATGAATAACAAACCTGGAAAGTTCTGATTAGAGGATTGACTTTAACCTGGAATACCTCTCTCCAGGCTCCAAGTTGGTCTTTTCCTCTCTAGTTCTATAATCAATAATTTGAAAACGAAATAATTATCATTATTTCCATTTTAGCTAACCCATCATCTACTGAACACTTACACTTTTACTTTACTTGCATATTCCTCCAGTCATCTTTCTGAAGAAATACTTTAATTCCATTTACAGATGAGAAAACAGGCTTTAAAAAGGTTAGGTAATCTTCTCAAGATTGTACAACTAGTGAGTGCCAGAGCAAGGATGCAAATCTCAGCCTTTCTGATTCTAAAGCGTGTCTTCTTAACCAGTATGTGTGTTATGCTGATCAAATCTACAGAAGATACAGAGCTATGAATGACATAAAATACATGGAAGACTGTCATAATATTTTGAGTTGAAAATAAGATTGACAAATGTCATGAGGTCTGGAATTACTTAAAAGACAGAAAAAAGAGAAGAAAGATTACATTTATTCTGCACAGACCTAGAAAGAAAACCTACTACTAATGACAGAAGTTCCAGGAGTTTATTTCTTATTGAATTTCCTATTGTTTTACAAGGCAGTAAGGTTTCCTATCTTTAAAACGTTTATAAAGAATCACGCTGACATATCAGGAATGTTCTACAAGGGTGGAGGTTAGGATATGTGACCCTGCAGTTCTCTTAACTTTAGTTCAGAAAACAGGAGCACCTAACAAGTACTCCAAGTTGATATGATTCTTTAACTTACATTTCTCATGGTCTGGAATTTTACTTTCTTGTGTATCCCATTCACCTCTAATTTTGTTTTGTTTTTCTAAATACAACGTCCTTCTGGAATACTGTATCTAGTATGGTCATATATGTACATGAGAAGATTCAATGCAGCATTATCTACAATTTTAAAAAAGGAAACAAACTAGAGAGTCATCCCATAGTTAAATATATTATGAAATACCATGCAAGAGTAAAACAAATGAGTTCAATTGTGAAAGAGGTCTGTATAATATGTATGAAATGGCATAATTACCAAAAAAATATATATATGTGGAAGAATAGGAATAAGCATGTTTACCACAGTATTATTTTTCATATCAAAAAATTATAAACAACCTAAGAGCCAATACAGAGTAGGCCAGAAAATTTTTCAATAGAATTGAAGCAAATAAATGTTCGACTTGAAAATGCTTACCTAAATAGACTTTTTCCAGCATATATGGGGGGGGAGGGGTGAGTACTATTCCTGCTTTTGCCAAAATTATCTCGTGTAAACGACTCCCTTTTTAAGGTCCATCATGCCTACCTATTTAAGTTAACATATTCATGCAAATCAATGACTTTATCTTCAAGACGTACCAAGAATAAATATATAGTGATATCACATTTAAATGTACATTTAACTTACCTAAACCCAACCATATGTTTTGAGCAATAAAAATAAATTATTATAGATCATGGCCACTACCTGTAAGTCAATTATGTCATCTGGTTCTTAACTACATGATCTGGTCTAATACTTGAGGAAAGACAGGTGGTATTGAATATTTTGTGGGGTTGTGCATAACACACAAATCCATGTATTCTGTTAACAAGCTGTCAGTAGATTCTGAAGCGAAATGTCTGTTCATCATTAATATTTGGTGACCAGGTGTGAAATAATGCATTATAAAGCACTTCTCTTTTTCTTCCTTAACACTAAATCACTTATCTTTTGGAACCTAACCCTCATTTAAGATGTAACTCTGCTGAACTGCCAAAACAAGGAGAAAAGGAAATAATGAGTGCTGACACTTGCCATAAGAAAACATAACCAACTACAATTAACCCTTGAACAGTATGGAGATTAGGTTATCAACCCCCACGCTGTTGAAACTCCACGTATAACTTCTGACTCTTTTAAAACTTAACTATTAATAACCTACTGCTGACCAGAAGTCTTAATGATAACATAGTCAATTAACATATGTTGGATGTTTTATGTATTATATACTGTATTAAAATAAAGTAAGCTAGTAAAAAGAAAATGTTATTAAGAAAATCATAAGGAAGAGAAAATGCATCTACAGTATTTACCGAAAAAAAACCACACACATATAAGTGAACCCATGCAGTTCAAATCCCTGTTGTTCAAGGGTCAACTGTATGAGAACTGCACATACATTATCCCATGGAATGCTTACAAAAATCTCAATTTTACAGTTGAGGAAACTGAGGCACAGAGCAGTTACTGACAAACTCAAAATAAAGGACTTCCTATATATTCATAAAATGTTCCCTTGCAATTCCCTAATGAATTACAGATATAAATGCATTTTTATACTACTCAGACTCATGAGCCCAGGATTCAGAAATTCCTCTTGACTGCAAAGACTATTCATGAAACTCTAACGTAAATACAACCCCACTCTTTGACATCTCCCCAACACAACGGCCTTTCTCTCACAGAGGTATGCTCGTGGAAAACTTGAAAGAGCAGCCCTGCTTTTCAAATGTTCACTAACAATGTGGTGATGGAAGATGTGAATACAGACATCAGCACAGTTCTAAAAATGAGGCCTAATTATAGCACTTCAGAGTGGAATAGAAAACGTCCAATTAGCCTACCCTCTCTCACTCTTCTGTGTGCAGTCCAGAATCAAGACAAAACAACATCTAAGGGAAAAGATGAAAAGATGGAATAGGAACAAAACCACAGACCACCTTAGTTATCAAAGATAAGACTTCAAATTTTTTGAATAACACATTAGGCTTTACTTAAGCCAATGATAGGGGTTTACTAAGAAAGCTGACCACTTAGAGTTAAGTTAAGAAAAACACTTTTGTTTTTTGCTACCATGTGCAATCAAGTCACAAGTGGAATAAATGAAAAACATAACACTATTATTTGCTCTTTATAAGCCACTTTCAAACGTTGGCATGGGCTATTTAACAACAGAACCAATATCAATTGAAAATTCTGTCTTAAATGAAATAAAACATTCGATGACAAAGGTGAAATGATACATCATAAAATACCAAAAGCAATTTTTCATTTCCTACAGAGATAAATGAAACCCCTGGACAGATGATATTTAAGCTACAACCAATTAAAGAGAAATGACTGGCTCTTCAAATTTATATTTACATATACAAACTGAGCATCAAAATACTCTTCCTTTACACAGTTCAAACAGTTACTTTTACATGACTACAAAGGCTGAATGCATCTTTCACAATAATGATACAGAAACATCACATCACAGCAGATGCAAAATCTATCATCGTATCACCCAGGTTCATGCCATTGTTCAAACACCTCTATCATCAGCCATTGATCTGCCTCATGCAACACTAGTCTAAATTTAACTCTCACAGGAGTGCATTACAAAATGCAGGTAGACATACATCCAAATGTTTGACCCCAATTCGTTTTAAATAAAGCCTTTTGTATAAGCCGTACATGTACTGTTCAAAAGCAAAGTAAATACTGTACCTGGTTATTTCTTCTTTAAGCTTACATGGATCATCAGCATAGAATTTAATACCAAAATACAAAGTATATGGAGGTCCAGCTAAAATAAGAAATAGAAAATAATTAAATTTCATATTATAAATTAGTTGATGTAATAGTATATTATTATACAACTATTAAAAATTACACTCACCAAAAATATTTGCAAACCATATACTAGATAAGGGGTTAACATCCAAAATATGTGAGGAATTCATACAACTCAATAGCAACAAATAACCCAATTAAAAAATGGGCAAAGACCTAAATAGACATTTTTCTAAAGAAAACATACAAATAGCCAACAAATATATGAAAAGGTACTTAACATCACTCCTTATCAGAGAAATGCAAATCAAAACCACAATGATATATCACCTCACACCTATAAAAATGACTACTATCAAAAAGACAAAAGTGTTGATGAGGATGTAAAAAAAAGAGAACCCCTGGACACTGGTGGTGGAATGTAAGTTGATACAGCCATAATGGAAAACAGTATGAAAATTCCTCAAAAATTAAAAAAGAGAACTACCGTATGACCCAGCCATGCCACTACGGGGTATTTATCCAAAGGAAATGAAATCGGAATCTTGAAGAGATATCTGTACCCTCATGTTCATTGCAGCATTATTCATAATAGTCAAGATACCTAAGTGTCCACCAATGAAAAAAATGGATAAATAAAATGTGGTACACGTACACAGAGAGAGAGGGGGGCAGGGACAGGAAGAGGCATATAATTCAGCAAGAAAAAAGAAAGAAATCTTCCCATTTAAGAAAACATGGATGAACTTAGACAACATTATGTTAGGTAAAATAAGACTAAGACACACACACACACACACACACACACACACACACACACACACACTGCCCGATCTCACTTATATGTGGAATCTAACATAGTCGCATACATAGATGCAGAGAGTAGAATGGTGGTTGCCAGGGGCTGGGGAGAGGAAAATGAAAAGATGTTACTCAAAGGGTATAAAGTTTCAGTTATGCAAGATGAATGAATTCTGGGGACTTAGGGTACAACATGGTGATGATAGTTAAGATACTGTAATGCATACTTGAAATTTGCTAAGAGGACAAATCTTAAATCTCACACACGCACCTCACACACTGGTAACTATACAGAGGTGATAGCTAAGTTATTTACCTTGATTGTGCTGATCATTTCACAATGTATACACACATCAAAACATCAAGTTGTACACCTTAAATGTAAATAATTTTTATGCGAAAGTGATACAAATAGAGTTGTTTAAAAAATTATACTCACCAAGATTTTCTAAAGACACAAGAAAATATGAAATGGAAAAAAACAGGGTCAGAACCGTATGACAGTAGGACTTCAACTATGCGGGAATCTATATACATATGGGTCTACGTGTTCGTAAATACAGGAAAAAAGGACCGAATACACCAGAATGTTGCCGGTTCTCTTCTCTGGTTAGTGAGGTTATGCACAATTTTTATTAATTTATAATTTTTTCATTTTTCACATTTTCTATAACATTCATGTATTTTTTTCATAATGAAGATTATAAATAAACAAAATAAATGGCTTGAAAAGCCATCCACCTATCACTAATTATTGCAAAATGTAGCAAGAAAAATCTGCAAAAAACTGGAAACAACTTAAATGCTCAGCAGCAGGTGGACGTTTAAGTGAAGCAAAGGACATGAGCGTACGGAGCCAAGTAACCTCTTAAATGGGCAGAGGGAGAACTCCAGGTGCAGACGGGGAAAGAGCACCAATCTATATTTCTGACTGCAGAAATACTAGCCCTTTTGTGAAAAAGAAAGCTATTTGTTAAAATGTTTCCCCTAGAATACATAAGAAATTACTAACAGTGGTAAACTTTGGGGAGAGGGACTAGAAAGGTTTTTTTTTTCCAGCTTTATTGAGGTAAATTGACAAACTGTAAGGTATTTAAAATGTTCAATGTGATGATTTGATAGATGTATACATTATGAAAGGATTCCTCCCACCTAGTTAATTAACACATACGATCCCATATATATTTACCTTTTTTCCCCCGTGAGAATATTTTATTCTACTCTCTTAGCAAAACTGCTATGTTAGAAATATCTTACCATGTATATCTCTTCTGTTTAAGAAAAAAAAATCATCGGTGAGACTATGTGGTAGGATTAATCTCACTACTGTCTCATTCTTAAACTTTTCTAATCTAAGAATGTGTTCTTATATATTTAAGAAGACAATTCTCATCTCAGTCATTTACCACATACACAAGAACTACATGCACCAATACCAAATATATATGAAGCAAAGCCTGAAATTGTACCTACATGGACAAATATAAACTATAATTAAACATTCATATTGTGAACGGGGACACAAGCCCCATGGAGTGCCAACCGCATTATATTATACTTTTACTAGAAATATTTCTATTTCAGAGGATGTGAATCTAACCTGCACTGTTTGCAAAATTATATACTTCTGAGCAGTGTGTTAACAAGATCATATATTAAAATTGTTTTGAAATGGACTTGTAATCTGCTGCACCAATTGGTGGTCATAGTTTCTAGTCTTTTTTCTTAAACAGAAGCTCTCCCACACACATAAAAATAGATATTAAGTGTGCATCTTAGTAAAAATACTTCCACCTACACATGTGATCCCCAGTCTCTGATACTGTGTAATTGACATAAAGTAACTTCAGTCTTTCTATTTTCATTTTTAACTGAGTAAATGAAGTCCCAAATTTAGAAGTTAGGGCAAGAAAATTAAATAGAACAAAAGACAATAAATCCATAATGCATTTATAACATACGAACTGTATCGTTATTATTATTATTATGACACACATATACTGTTTGTAGAACCCCAAAGCCCTGTTCCGGGTATACAGAAGACAAATGAGACTAGGGCCCCGCTCCTCTCCCCTCATCTATGCCGTCCTGTATAGGCACCCCTTACTCTAGAGCTTCTTTAAAAGCTATGTTTTAAAAGAAATTTTGTTTTAATTTTCTGTCATTAGAGTTGATTCCGTATACTTGATTTCTACGTTTAGTTAATCGCTGTATTTGTGTTTCTGACAAACACACCTCCACCCCTGCACAGAGATGTCAGGGAGGCACAGACTATGAAATATTTAGAAGAGCCAGGAAGTCTACCCTCTGCTGATCCATCTTTGTCAATCAAGGTCTGTGTTACTAAGCAGATGGGTCGGCCTGCGCCGCAGGCCTCTGGGGTTAGCGTCTGGGGGTGGCAGGAGCACAGACACTGCTTCTGCTGTTGCTGAGACAGTGCACAAAGAAAAGGAGGCCTTGTCCAGAGAGCAGAGCTGCTTTTATTCTCTGGAACATGGCAGATTACACCCTACTGACCAAGCCCAGCCACTTCAAACGTGTTTAGTGATGAGCCGTTATGTAGAAGTTTGAAAAATACAAAATTAAAAGCATTTGATTTGGGCTAATTTTCTTAAAGGACCTGTGGCCCAAATTGGCCCTCCAATTCCCATTACATATATAAAATGGCTTGAGTTCTAAGTATAAGGCATCATTACCATTTGATTGCATTTAATAAAGTACAAAAATGTTTCCTAAACATTTGATTCTCAACAACTGCCTCGTAACATATGTAAGGAAGGTGAAGCACCAAGGAGGTAAGTAGCTTGCCTAAGATCACAGAGATCACAAACTAAGAACCAAGTTTGCTAATACTTAGAGTTCAGTGCTTTCTCGCTGCTATTCCATACAGCCTTTCGGGGGAAAAAATTATAATACCTTTCAGAGTAAGCAAATACTTTCATTTATATCACTGTTTTATAGTCCAGTCAAAGGCTATGGAAATGAACATTTAGGAGAGAGAATATGTCTAGCCAGATATTTTTTGGCTTCCTATTCTAAGACTGACTATAAAAATCAGTCTCCAAGTTATTGTCTTGAATCCATGTCTTTCCACAGAGTTGACCTTTAAGAAATCTTTACGTAAGCTAAGTTAATACTGTTTTACTTTATATAAAATACAGAAGCCGGAAACTGGGAATCCTCTAATCTACCTTTTGTGAAGACTAATTTCAAGGCTTTTAATGATTAATAAAGTGTCTTCCATTAGCACAGGGATAAATCAAGACTTACCTATGAGAATCTTGGTGACTAGCAAGTATTCTGTCATTTTTACAGATATTCCTTCTGACTAATCTACTAGAGATGTTGAGAGCCACTCTCCTTCATTAATTATCAAACTATCTCATGAGATAAGATATAAAGACCATGTATTGTTCAGTTAAATAATCTCTCTTCCATTATAATATAGGTGTTTTATTCTTACTGTATGCTCCTGTCCTTGGGGTCCCTGAAGCACCATGCAACCAATTTTACCACAAGAAATGAGCCAATATACATGGAAAGTACAGATGCAGAATGGGGGTAATAGGGCCACAAGAAACCACTAGGTCTTATTAGCAATCATTTGCACATTAAAGCATAACAGTTTAATGAGAGCAGAGTTTCTAGTTTGAGAGGATGACGAAGTTTTGGAGATGGACAGTGGTGTCAGTTGCAATGTGAGTGTACTTAATGTCACTGAATTTACACTCAAAAAGTTTAAAATAGTAAATTTTACAATAGTTTTTAAAGATAGTCTTTTAAAAATAACTACTCTTTTGCATACTTAAGGACCACGAGTACAGGTATGCATGCGTGCACACGTATTTATAAATAAAAACTTGGGTTACGGAAATTAAGGTTAATAAATATAACTTTAATTATACTGAGTCACTTAGTAGTAAGATTCATATTTACAAAACCTAAAGCAGAATAGATGGGTCCTTTCTGAAGCCACTGAAATCTTTCAGGTCGCAAGGGCATTTCTTAATTATTGACTCAGCAAACTAAACAGTGTGACAAACCACTTCTTAACCCAAGAAACTCAAGCATTTTAAAAGGTTGGATATCCACTTTTGCTGAAACAGTGCCTCTCTGTCTTTTCTCTTTTAAGGTGAAAATTTAAAGACAAGCAACTAGAAAAATCACAGACTAAAGTCAAGAACAAGCATAGCCCAAGCAAATATCAATACTAAGATCTAGTATCAGAGTCTTTATCAACTCAAATTTAATCAGAGTTTGCAGAGACCAGTCAATGTATGCACATCAATTTCCATATTCTGGCACATGAGAACTAGTACTCACCCCTGTAGTTTGAAAGCCTGTTTCTGCATCCAACTAATCCTGGACATTACATCATTTTCAAGGCACCCCTTAACGAAGTTAAAATTAGATACCTACTGTTGATCAGTTCTTTGTGTTCAGCGAGGGTTTTTGTAGGATCCAGCCAATACTGTGTGAGGAAGAAAAGGGTAATTATAGAAATTAGTTGCTTTTCATTGGCCTTCACTTCAAGAGCATTTGCAAAGTGTTATTTTAAATGACATTTAAATAATAAATAAAGCATTTACTTTATCATATACACATAACATACAGAAGAGCTTTCTGCAGCCAAACATTAAAAGATAAATGATGTCAATGTTTGGAAAGCAGCAGAGAAGAGAAGAGAAGAGAGACAGTACTCGCTGGGTTCTTAGTTGAATTCTCGTACTGATTATAAGATCAGCAATATCAAGATGCTAATGAGTGACCGACTTACTGCTTTTGGTGGGAAAACAATGGCCACAGAGAATGCCTCCCAAGTCTGTTTTCCAAAGTCCCTATCGCAACTCCCTGCAGCCACATCTCCCCCTAAAAGGTCTTTACCTTCCTCACTTCCAGTCCCGTTCTTTATAGGTGTCACTGCTAGAGGTAAGGAGGAAAGAGATCAAATTAAATGAAACCCTCATCACCTATTTGGGACAGGCTGCTCGGTACAGTGGCTGAGGATGGTCCAGATCCCAGCGCCCACCCAGCTGGATTCCATCCTGGCTCTCCTCTCATCAGAACTATGTAACATGGACCAAGATACTGGACATCTCTGAAACTTCCTCTGGCTTGCTGTGAGGATTAAATAAGTTAATTCATGTAAAGCCTTTGGAACAGCCCCTGGCTCATACAAAGTACGTAATATTCACTAATGATGATTATTATTAAGGTGTGAGGCTCATTCCTATTGTGCCTTTAGCCAGCCTGAGGTACTTGCTTATTAATTCCAATTCATCTTTAATGAACAGAATTTCAGACAGTGATGGGAGAACTTTTGGCCCTGGGGAGAGGTCTTCCTTTAAATCCCCTCCTTTTCACTGAAAGAAAAAGAAACAAGCCTTTAGCCTTTAGCCTCATCTCCATCCGGGGAAAGAGCAAGGGAGAAGCACGGAGGGACATCCGGGTTCCCCTAGAAGCACACGGTCGAAGGGATTCCGGAGCCCTAGAGGGTCAGGGGAGGGTAAAGCGGAACCTCTCCCCAGCTGTCCTTGACAAATGCTGGCGATCCCAAGAACCCAGCTAAGCAGCTTCCATTTTCTCACATTCCTGAATGAAGAAGGGGCAGTTCTGACAGCAGGGAGGTGAAGCTGGCCCACCTTGAGCCACTGCATTGCCAGCACTCTCAGTTCACCCTAGTAAAACATGCTCACTCTCCTGACACTTCTGAGTCAGGAATCAGGAATCACAGGTCGGAAAAGGGGTCCAAGAGAACCTTCCTGCCTAGTTCCTTCTTCTCGGCTCTGCCCCTCCATCGAAGGCGGAAATGCTTGCTCCGCTATACAACAGTAGCAATAATTACAAATACTTATTATAATAGTTTTTTTGCAATCCTCTTACCTTTTATTCCTAATTACAATGAATATAATAATAATTAGTCATACTAAATATATGTCATAATCATTTTATTATAAGATTTTATTACAGGACTAAACTCTATTCATGTGCATCTATAATCTTCACTATTTGCTACTCATAAGGCAGTTTCAGTTTTCCAACTGTTTAAAAAATAAAGTTATATATATAGCAACTAACAACAATGTTTATTATTTTGCTCCTAATCACATCTCAATTTTTTGAAGGTCTACACTCACTCACTTTTAAAATAAAAAAGATATTTGAAGCAGAGGCTATAATCAATGACCTGCTTTTGGAGCCCACGGTGACTAGAGATATGGCTTTGCTGTTAAAATAATGGTTCGTAAGGAAACACTGATTCATCCAAGTAGAGTAAAATCAGCCCAAATGCTAAGTCGTGTGTTAGACAGAGAGCAGACCCTTTCTTCTAGGTATATAAAGCTATGGATGCTCCTCATGAAATAGAAACTTTAGGTGGATGGGCTGTTTCTTGCCATTCATGTTAAATAATACTATCCCTTGGATTTTTCAAAGAGGATAAAACCAAGGAAAACACACACAACTAGCCATGTTTAACACTTGCCTTCAGAACTGTGAGGAATAAATTTGTTGTTGAGAAAAATTTTAAATAAACACTTGCATTAGATTTCTATTGCTGCCTAAGTAGCAGAAGCTTAGCAGCTTACAATGATACCCATTTATAATCTCCAAGTTCTATAGATCAGCTGGTTTCTTTTCTCCAAGTTTCACAAGGCCAAAATCGAGATGTGAGCTGGCTGGGGTCCTAGAGGGTTATTTGTGGAGGGGACCCTACCCATGAGAGCGCTTTAAGGAGGGGACTTGGAGTTGAACCCGTAGTGACTCTCCCAGTGTCCCCCAGATGTCAAGGTATGCATATTAGGTCTTAATTTTAGGCCTTATACCACACTGATATATGAGGACTCAGTAAGTGCCTAGGACAAGAAAGAGGGAAGGAAAGGGAAGGGAAGCAGTCTCTGGTTTTACTACTATCTCATCTCATACTGAAATTAGTAGAAAACAGAAATTGGAAGAAAGCTTCTTAATCTCTCCTTCTAACATCATCACCAAAAAACAACTTTACAGATTCCTCAAACCGATATTTTTTTTTGCCTCCAGAATGTTTTTCAGTTATTAAAAAACTAAATAAAGAAAACAGAAAGGAAACTTTTAATTAAATGTAACAGTAAAGATTAGTTGACCTACTAAAAATTTTTATATTAATGATAATCTCTACACTTTTAAAATAAATCTCTTTCCTTAGAGCAATCTGATTTGTGAGGTGAAAAGTATAATGAAGGTTCTGAGATGAGTTAGAAATTACAATTGTGCAGCAAAAAAAAAAAAAAAAGTCAAGACTCAGTCAAAGGCGGTTCGATCGGCACACTGCACATCAGATATGCTAAGCATCAATGCAGCGCTCGCCACGCATAAATCTCATTTGATCCAAATGGATATCCAGAATTACAGAGGTCAGATGATGGTAAATGCCGCAGAATATAAATAATAAACACGAGCCACCAGATTTCATAAGCTAACATCTCAAATTGTAAAACCCACTTACACTCAACCAAGGAAAAGAAACGACCTTAAGACCAAAGCAGCCATACTATGAGGCACTTGTCACCACTCATTATCAACAAGCAATCAAACATAGCATGGCTGATCATCATGAAACACATCAGGCAGCTATTCCATAACTAATGAGAAAGAGGGCACAAGAAATTGCCAACGAACACAATATCCCATTCATTTAACATTTACGGAATATCCATCATACATGTTCTTTATGATATGTCAGACCTTGTCCTGGGGAGTGTGGGAAAACAAAGATGACTGAGACCTACCCTTAACCTCGAGGTGCTGAACGCCTAGCAGGAGACACACAGACACAGAATCACAACACAATGCTATACGTGAGACGACAATATGTATAAGATGAGTGAGTATTAGATAATAAAATTAGGTACAAAGAAAATTAGCTCTGCAGGATGACTGTAAGAAGGCATCACTGAAGAGAAAAACTTTGAGCAGTGTGCACATGAATAAAAAGCTTCCCCAAAATACAGAAATGTAGAACAGAGCCTTAAAGTTTTTAAAAAATGGTACATACCAGCTCAACTGTTCTTAAAGTAAGTGGGTCTGTTTTTAAGTGACAACATGGAATACTCCAGGTCCTTTACAGATGAGTACTATATTGAAATCAATGCCACCCAATAGCTAACAAACACTCAGCTAAGAAATCCATGTTCACAGAAGACTTCCAGAAAGAGAAGTGGTCCATTTAGTTTTTCCATCTTCCCTGGGCAGGGAGACTAGGAGGGGCAGAGAGCTCACCACAGTTAACTGTGGCACTGGGCTTTTCTGAACTGCACTTTGCTGTGAAGCTGTCTTGCCTACCCAGACAGTCGCAAGGACAGACAGCCTTATCTTTCTCATTCTCTCTCAATATTCAAGCTGTTCATTCTCTAGGAAAATCTTTCACTTACTTACTCTTCCTCTTTCCCCACCTCCACCCTTTCAATTTCAAAGTTATATCCTGTAGCTTGTATATCCTTACAAGCTGAATCCAGTCCTGTTTCGTAGGAAGATAAGATAATAATTAACAGAAGTAGACCCTGACCTCTCATCCTGATTTCTACGGTGGACTTCCTTACAAAGGAGATGGGCTTCCTTACAAAGGAGAACGTTAACAGACTGCAACCCCAACAACCAATCACTGAAGAGTCAGGATGACAGCCCTCCTTGTCTCTCTGACCCTTTGCCAAGGGATAAGAGGCCAGTAGTTAGATGGCCTTACCCTCTTCAGTCTCATCGATCTTAATAACAGCATTTATGCAACCTAGGGAGAATAACAGGTGGGCATAAGTTCCTTCTTACTCTGGCAGTCTTGGCTAAACGCCCTGAGCATCTTTTATTCACCTTGGATGATGATGTCTGAATTTCATCAATTTCCTAGGTAACAGTCTCAGAATTAGATTTTAAAACTCTAACACTATCCAGTAAATCAATATCCTAACCTTCAAAATTCAAGGTCCAACCTTTCATTTGACAACTGTTCTTTTAAAGTTTCCTAGAGTTCTAATAGTAGAATAAGTCCTAAAATGTTTTAGATAAAACTTCACTGCATCTTATTTCATAGTGGGTATAATGCTGATTCTCCCTTGAAGAATGTAAGAACGCTACAATGATATTTAATAATGTTTCCTATAGATTTTTTAAACAAGGCTTTAAAAACATACACAGTTTTTGTCAGCAAAACAAAAACAACTTCTTGATCTAAGGGAGTATAAAGAGAGTTGGCCATCTATAAGGAACAATGGAGCCACAAAGATCTCAAAAAAGGATACTACCGTTTACTCTCAGGGAGTTCTAGGACTTGACATAATTTGCACATATGTTCCAAGAAATCCATGAGTGTGGTGATAGCTATTTGTGCTTTTCCCAGTGCCCCTATAGACAGATCTCAGGTCCTCTAAGCAACATCAGCAGAACATGGTTTTAGTTTGCTCCTCAGGTACAGTTAGCTCAGGCACCACAACCTAGCTAACG